TTCACAATTAACAAAAAATACTGGAAAAAAATTTACTTTAAGTCCATACAATTGCTGTTTTTATGAAGTTGGAACACACTCCCCTTTTATTGCAGCAATGTCAAAAGTATTTACAATAGTTTCACAAAGCCTTTCTTAATACAAAACTATAATTTTTACATAAATTTTACTAATTACTTTTAACAATATTAACAAAATCCCATAAATTTACAATTCTTGTTTTTATGAAGTTGGAACACAAAAATTTCTCTATTTCTTGGAAATAGAAATAGATTATTATTATTATATGTGGAATTATTGGTACTGTATTAATTGGTATGTTAAATAATACTAGCTGAAAACTGGCTATATTTACATTCATTTTGACACCAGCAGAGATTGTGCAACCATGTATAATTGTTTAAATAGCCAAAAGTAAACAGACTTTGGGAGGTATTTATAATACTAACGGAAGTATTGAATCATTGGGGCAGTGTTAAGATAATCTAGAAAATAAGGGTTGAGGTGACTTTTCTTTTGACCTTCAAAAGGTTGTTTATGATCCTGTTCTTAACGGCAAAGGTGTTTTTTTTAAATAAATGTTAGACATTCATTTTTGTCAGCATGTTTCCTGTACAGTACATCATGTATATATCTAGTTATCAGCATGTTCCCACGTAAATCCTCAAAAGAAGACCACTCTTACAGGGAACATGATGACAATTATACATGATGTACCTGCACACATGTGCATAAATAAATTAGGATATGCTTAATCTGGACTCTTCAATATAAGTACCACTACTTCAAGCTGCAGACTAAATGACTCACAAGAACCACTTGTCTCTATTCACTGACACTTTTTTTTCCTGCAATTCAACCTGGCTTCCCATTTTTCTCTCAAAAAATATGTAAAACATTCTTTGCAGTATTTCTTATTGTAGGTTAACCTTGAAAGGTTGGGTAGATACAATCTGTTCTAAATGGAATGTCAAATCAGTTGCATATAAAATATCAAAGATAACAAATCATTATTTCACCTTTATTTTGTTATTATGTTATATTACATACATGTATCATCTCTGATGACCATATGTATATTCTTAACCCTATTCTTAAACAGTTAATATCTATTTGTCTTCGTTTCCAAGAAATTTAATACCAGCTAATATGCTGTCATAATGTGTTATATTCATATCCATTTTTTCCTCACAATAACTCTGTTCTGTAGCCTGGATTATACCTGAAACTTAACAAAATGCATTTTAATCTGGCTTAATCATTATTTTTCTTTAACTTTTGTATAAGCCTACTTAAAAAACATTGAGGGACATTTCCAGCGTTATATTCATTCATTTTATAGATACTAATTTTTATTGATATCAGATATTCAGTATTTTTTTCTGGGATGTCACCTTTAAGTAATAATGATTACATTAATTGGTCTTTATATAATTATCTCTAGTATGATTAAGTTATATTTGATAATCAAAGAAATTTGGAGAAGTTTATAAAGAATTTGGCAAGGTATAAAACGTGTTAATGACGAGATATTGAAAGGCACGTTACAGTACAGCTCTATCTTGTCAACACTTATAACTCGTTTTATTTCAAGTACCAACTGTTTCCTTATCAAAGTATTAATAATGTTAGAAAGGTGGTTTCAAAGTATGAACAATATCAGAGAGGTATTAAAGTATGAATAATATCAGAAAGGTGGTATCAAAGTATGAATAATATCAGAAAGGTGGTATCAAAGTATGAACAATATCAGAGAGGTATTAAAATATGAATAATATCAGAAAGGTGGTATCAAAGTATGATAAATATCAGAGAGATATTAAAGTATGAATAATATCAGAAAGGTGGTATCAAAGTATGAATAATATCAGGAAGGTGGTATCAAAGTATGAATAATATTGGAAAGGTGGTATCAAAGTATGAATAATATCAGGAAGGTGGTATCAAAGTATGAATAATATTGGAAAGGTATGGGGTGTAATAAGACATTCAATTTCATTTCCATTCATTAGACACAGCTGTTGACACATCTTCAAATTCTTTCCATTAAATTTTTGTAGATTTCTAAATGTTTTGGCACCATTACCAATTGGATAATATATTTTCTCTTTTACAATATTGATTTAACATTAAGTCTTGTTCTATTCAAATTGTTTCCAGAATAAACAAATTCTCATCATATTGACTTCAGCCGATATATAGTAGGGAGAATTTAAAAATAACCAATAGTACCAAACTGTTACGTCTGCCAGTAATTGAGTTCAATCTCATTTCTTAGAGAGTTAAAGTGATTTTATACAAGATCGTCTAGAATAGATCAATTGATCTGATTTCACACCCCCAAATGAAGAGAAGAGTGGCATTTGGAAAATGTCGAGTTTCATTAAATTTCATTTGTGTAGTGAAAAAAATGTTACTCTGATGTTTTCAAAACACTATCTTTTTGTGTGACATTGTAATAAAACCAAGTTCCAATGATTATTTAATGTATGTAATCAGATCAACAAACATTAATTAATATAATTAATATAAACAAGATATCATATTATGAACAAATTACAACAATAGACTATTAATAAATTACTACAACATATGATACGATGTACAATAATATACTAAGATCAAAATATAACAACATTCAATTGTCACAATACAACAATATACAGTTAAAATCAAAATAACATACAATTATTAACATAATATACAACATACAATTATCATCAAATACATCAAAATACAACATTATCAAAATAAAACTATATTCAATTATCATCAAAATACAACTATAAGCTTATACAATTAACATCAAAGTAAAACACACAATGATTGGATTACAACAACTGGTGATATGATCAAAATACAACAATATATCATTATTGATATATAATACACAACATACAATTATCATCAAAATACAACATTATCAAAATACAACTATATACAATGATCATCAAACTACAACTATATTCAATAATCATCAAAATACAACAACATGCAATGAATATTAAAAATGAACAACATACAGTTGTTATCAAAGTACAACATCATCATCAAAATACAACTATATACAGAAGGAATGAGAGATTTGCATTGTCAAAGATAATCACTCCAAGATTAACACCACTGCCAATTTATAGTAACTTTTCAATATAGTTATTTTTCAATAGGAACTTGTTATTCTTCAGTAGTAACTTTTCAATAGTAATTTGTTACCTTTCAACAGTAACTTTTTTACTTTTCAATAGTAACTTGTTACTTTTCAATAGTAACTTGTTACTTTTTAATAGCAACTCATTACTTTTCAACACTAACTTGCTACTTAAGTTACAACTCGTTTCTTTTCAATAGTAACTTGTTACTTTTCAATAGTAACTTGTTACCTTTCAGTAGTAACTTTGTACTTTTCAGTAGTAACTCATAACTTTTCAACAGTAACTTTTTTACTTTTCAATAGTAACTTGTTACTTTTCAATAGTAACTTGTTACTTCTCCTCATCACTTAATGAATATTTATTGAAGGATTAGTTATTTTAAGCTGAAACATTATTAGAAAATCTGTTGAATATGATATGTGATAATTACTTCCATTTGAAAAAATATCAAGACAAAAATCATGATTACATTTTGATAACCAGTCGAGATTCTTATCAGCAACTTCCTGCATCATTTGACTTTATTCCATTGATAAATGTGTGTCTTGTAGTTTGGAATGGTGCCAAAGAATTGTTCATTGATAAGAAATATTGATTGTCTCTATAGGTGTTGGCATCTGGCAAACTGCCAAGCCTGAAAATTGAGACTTAAAAGATTAAGATAAAGAAAAGAATATTTTTTTATCGTCAAGTGTCATTTCCTTTCATCAGTCATCAGAATATAAATTAGATTTGAAAAATTTGGCCAGTTTATTTTATTTGGTTTATGTTAAATTTCAAGAGTCAAGTTCATTAGTCTCAAATAAGAACAACTGTCGAAATTTTTTAAACTGAACTGTTCTTGTATCAAAATAATAGTGTGATAATGTCTTGCATATTTGCCATTTTCTCTCTCAATTAATTTAATGGATGGAAATTAAACATCATTTAAGCTGGCTATGGTGTCTTTCAAAATAAGAAATTGACTCCTGGTTTGCCTGCAGTAATAATACATTAATAAAAAGTTTTTTTTATTTTTAGACCAATATCATCACATTGATTGTGTGGGTTTAACACTATTCGAACATTAATGTTTTTTTTTAGATAGTCTACGTGTTCAATTCTGAGTAAAGCTAAGATTCCATATAAGCGTCATGCGGATGCGTCATGTGGACATAAATGGCCCTTGCTGATCCGTCATGCGTCAATATGATTCCATATGTGCGTTAAACGTATGCGTTACCTTTCATTTGACGCACAGACTTCTAGACAGATGGATGCTTTGCTGCATAAAAAAGACAGGGAATCCCCATCAAATGCGTCACATTTGGGAGTTCTCCATGCGGAAAGGCGTCCGGGTGCATCAAAAATCGCTACACTCGGTGATTTTTTTTTGACGCATGGCGGAGACCATTTGACGGATACCACTTCTGCATATATGGAATCATACCCTCTTAAACCAACCATTTGGATTTTTAACGCATGACAGATCTGCATGACGCGTATATGGAATCTTAGCTTAAAGAAAAAATGTTTTTCTATTTATATAAAAGGTGCTCTCACACCATAGCGATTACCTGTTGAGTATTGTTGTAAATAATAGGCCTAGAAGAACGCAACTCACAAGTCAGTTGCATGAGAGTTCATTTCAAAACCTATGACCTGATCTCCATGGTGATAGGGCACTTTAAAGTACTGTCACAAAAACTTCAAAACTAGTCCAGAAGTTATCGCTATGCCATTTCAATTTTCACTGAAAAGATAACTTGACTTTTCGGTTGCTAAGCACTTAAAGAATATGTACAGTGCACCTCACTACCAAAATATAGACAGTAGTCAATTAATGTTTTATTAATTTATATTTTTCAGGGTGATTGTGTGTTTTAAGATTAAAATATAAGTGGTGTTTAGTCTAGCATGAAAGATACAATCACATCTTCAACCAAACTCTTCAATTCTCAAAATAAAGGTAAGTTTAGATGTTTTGTTTTTCATCCAATCATGTCATCATCCATACATGCTGTATTCAGTAGCATACACTCAAATTCAAGATTATAAACAGTAACAACATATAAGATCTGTTTATTTTTTTTCGGGTATTGTTTGTGCATGAATTTGAACGCATACAAAGGGAAGTAAATCCAAATTATGGTGTTTTTTTTGCAGACGGATTCATAAATGTGATAATACATTTGTTTCTTATTTATCAAATTATACCTTTTCCCTACTTTTCTTTAAAAGAGTTTTGTCTGCGAAAAACAGTTGGAGGGTTGGAGTTAATTTGTCATATACTGGGATTGTGGAATAGCTTAGTTGTTAGAGGGTTGGTTTGTCATCTGCTCTAGGGCAGGGCAATAGCATAAGCCTCATTTACATTATAAATGAAAACTATCTGTTAGAATGGATGAAAAATTTGTAGTGTAATCAGTCGGGCGTTCAGAGAACTGTTCCAATTTGAGACAACCGAGGGGAAATGGTCTCTGAACAGTCTGCAATCTAACAGACCAGAGTAGTTTTAACGTTATCCATTCAGAAAACATTCCTTGCTGCGCATTCGTCTTGCCCTTTTGCCCTTTCCACAGTTTCTGCGAGCAGATGAAATGGCTGCCGGATGAATTACTTTTGTCTTCATCCAGGTTATCAGGAAGTGTTTAATTACCTCCTTTGTGGAGAGTTACATTAAAATGCACTTGTTTACACAACTATTATAGAACTGTTTTCTGAACGCTAAAATTTGTAGTAGTGTAAATCATAAATCTTTTTTGATTATATCGCGTCAAGGTCAAGACCAAGATCGGAACACTTTGTAGTACTTTATGGCTTTACTTGAGTTACTTTAATGAGTTGGTTTGTCATATGCTTGGACTGTTGCATATCTAAGAATGAGTTCGTTTCTAGTCTGCTAAGACGATGGAATAGCTTAAACTAGTGAGTTGGTTAGTTATCTGAAAGGACTGTTTCATGGCAACCCCAATCATTTCATTGAAAGATTTCAAAAAAATATTTGGACTTCCAGCCACAAATGATTTTGATTACTCTTATCATAACAAGAAATTATGATTATTAAGAGAGATAAATGATTACTGTCAAAAACAGACAGATGTTAAATTAACTTCAGGCTACAACAAATTAATTCAAAGGTGTGGGTATCTGAACAATTCACCTGTGGCTTCAGATCACGTTACTGATGAATGGTGTGGTCAAATAGTGACCTACATGTTTACTTTGACCTACTTATTATTTTGATTAATTAAGGTCCTTGAGATAAATCAGTTTTTGGTGACTACTAAAACCATTCTATGAAACTTTTGAAGATTCGATATACAGAGTAATTATAAAATATAAACCGATAAGATTTATCCTACCGATTATCTTAGAAGAATATATGGCATAATTGATGTTGTATCCTCTAAAAATTTTGTGCCTTAAAAGGACAAGTTTGCTGTTCAATTGACCAACCCTATCTTAATCTCAGAAACAGAAATAGAAGCTGATAAAGAATACATAGAAGCTTATAAAATTTTTTGAAGGAATTATGTGATTTTCATGCATTTCTAGTACTTCTGAAGACTTCCTTCAAGACCCAAATCAACCCCTGAAAATGGTGAACCATAGCCTTTAAAGCAAGATTCGTGGCGTAAAAAATAAACCAAAATACAAATGCATGTACATGTATATGAAACACAAAATACGCTGAAAGCATGTTCAAGTCCCATTTCTTATTCAAATATTTCTAAATACTGAATGGTGTCTCCGTCACATCTTCTCATTACAATAGCTTTACTTGATGACCAGTGAACCAGAAAATATACCTAGGTCAGGAGAGTAGAGAGCTCATATCATGACACACACACTGGCTTATATGGGCTTGAACTCTGAATGGACCCAAGCATGGTTGAAATCTTTAAGTTTTGAATAAGTTTTTGAAGGAAGGTTGCTTTGAACTATTTACTCACTGCTATTTGTTTGTGCTCCATACCACTTTGAAGTCAAGTTTATTTTTAGGATATTTTTGACAAAACAGGTTTGTAAAAGTTATGTTATATTTTCTGATAAGAAATTAGTATTGAAATAGAAATACAAGGCCAAACTTTTCAAGGCTAACTGAAAGGGCATGCATTAATGCAGCATATTTACACAAATAATTTTTGTGCATTATTTATATTTGTGGATTTGTATTCTGTAGATGCTTTTGGTGCTTTTTGTACGAAAATATGAAACTTTTTCTAAGATTTATAAACGACACCATGTATCTCATCTGTTATGATTCAGTTATATAAGGCCTACATCGTCACCAAAGTTTGTGTATTATAGAAATTGTATGCATTGTCCTTAAATGTCTTAAAGCATTTTTGTAACTTTGGGAAGTTAGACAGGAGCTCTCACAGAAACTTTAAATATAAACTCATTTTCCATAACTTGGACTGAAAATTAAACATAACTTGGACCGAAAATTAAACATAACTTGGACTGAAAATTAAACATAACTTGGACTGAAAATTGAACATAACTTGGACTGAAAATTGAACATAACTTGGACTGAAAATGAAAGATAACTTAGACTGAAAATTAAATATAACTTACACTGAAAATTAAATATAACTTGGACTGAAATTAAACTTAACTTGGACTAAAAATTAAACATAACTTGAACTGAAAATTAAGCATAACCTGGACTGAAAATTGAACATAACTTAGCCCGAAAATTAAACATAACTTGGACTGAAAATGAAACATCTTTTAGGACTGAAAATTAAACATAACTTTGACTAAAAATGACGCATAATTTGGCCTGAAAATGATGTTTAAATGTTAAGTTTACTAAATAAAGCTAAAATAGTGGAGAAAATGCTATTCAGAAGTTCAGTTATCAACCAAAAATTAAACTAAGACCTTCAGTAAGCTAATATCATTTCACTTAATAGTGGTTTACAAAATATGATCAAGTAATGATAGATGTAGAACAATTAGTAGTATAGTATTTACTCTTTAAAGTAACAAGTCATAAGTTGTATCCTGGTGTCAATAGAAATAACAATGGAGATATACAAGGTTATTGAGGTGTGTTTTAGTATATGGTGTAATTCAAGTGATGATATTGAATGGGATGGGATACAGACACCATTGTTTCCAATTCATTGTACATAATATTACATTCATCCTAGCTTTATTTCGGTTGTTTTCATAAGATCTTTTTAAAAGGTTGGAAAATATTTTTGTAAGTTTTTTTGATTTCTTTACTTAGGGAATTTTACTTGTTTACTTAATGTCATGGTATCTGATCTTTTTGTACTAATTGTTTAAAGAACAGAATTTTTAAAAGATCTTTGAGAGGGATAAGGAGACATCTTTACAATATCAAAATCAAAAGAGTTGAAGAAGGGATAAAAATAAGGGTATATATTATATGACATAATGCAATCAAAATCAAAGATTTAAGAAAGGATAACAGTCAATAGGGTTCATTATTAGATGACATAATGCAATCAAAATCAAAGATTTAAGAAAGGATAACAGTCAATAGGGTTCATTATTAGATGACATAATGCAATCAAAATCAAAAGATATAAGATGAGAGTTTGTAATAAAATGTAATCTACTTCAATGTCAGGAAGATCACTTTGAAGAATCTGGTTATAATTTAATGAATATTAGAAATGTATGTGATCACAAGTGAATACCTGATTAATTTTATAATTAACATTGTAATATGAGTCTGTTATTAATTAATCCTAACCCTATCTTTACTGTTAAATTGTCAAGATTTGGGTGTCTAATTAGAGACTTGTCACAAGTAAATTTTTCTCCTAATTTTATTACCCATAGCAATTATTTTGAGTCTTGTTATCTCTGACATTAAATAGCCTTGAACTATCTATCTTTAAATCACTACAACGTGTGTGATCATGGCTTAGCTCATTGATCATACTATCGCTCTGCTGCATGATATTGAAATAAAATCATTTTAAGACTTTACATTGAGAATTTGTAAAAGAGGCATAAGATCCTTTAATTGTAGACAAACTATATTTTTCAAGGACCCAAACCCCTATTCCACACTGGGTTGTACCACACTATACTACAATTTCTAATCAGATTTAGAAAATTTTTTTTTTTGAAAAAGTATTTACAACATCTGCTGGCAGCCCCATCGCCAAGAATGAATTGGTGCTGGAGCTCAGATTTAGTACTCAGAGAATTTGAAGAATTACAGACCCAGAGAACTCATTTCTGACAATTTTGAGTTGCCAAAAACTATCAAAATCTATATCTTTTGGATTTTGTACAATGACACTGTAAATGAATTTATCTCTGGTGGATTGAAGAAGATTTCGCTGGGGCCAAGCCTCCACGGACACCACCCTATCAACGGGGCTGTCTACGGGTCTAACCCCTCAGTCCAGACATCCCTGCATAAAGATGCAATGTTATGATATGATATGCAAGTCCTACATTGTGAACTCATTTCTTTTCAGCAGCCATGGCTGACAGTTCAGAAGATGCCCGATATCGCGGGCCAAACTCAAATAATAATGGTGATACCATTAAATCGAATGGATTCCATAATGGTGATGTGGTAATCCAAGAAGAAAAAGTTGCTTTAAAGAAAAGGGTGGGATTAGTGAGTGGGATAGCTCTTATTGTTGGAACTATGATAGGTAAGTTATTCCCATAATTCTAATTTTTCTGAATATAATTTTTTCCATCTTGTTAAGAACTTTCAATACGAATCTGTCAAATACAGGTTAAGATATAATTATTAGGGCTGCAAGGATGAATCAATGAACCGGGATTCTGTTCTTCTTATCGATGCTTTGCGTTGGATAAAAATAATCACAATGTATCAGCACAATAAATTCTTAGCCCCCTTTAATAACAAATAAGAAATTGTGTCATGTTTTCATTTTCCCAGAATAATTTGCAAAAATTCGTGATTTTTTTTCCTTACTTCTAAACATTCTCAATTACTTAATAGTGACAAACTTGTTAGAAATATACCAATTTCTACTATTTTTTCTTTTTCCTGCTCTAATAAATGAATCGCGATAATTATTGCAATAAATCGTTGGATAAGTATCGTATAGTGTGTTGATTTGCAACTTCAAGAATAGTTACAGCCCTAATATTTATCTTTTTCCAAAGAAAGAAGGGAACAACCATTTTTTTTTTACAATATTAAGCTTTAAAGCCCCTTTCCACAAGCTGGACCTTGGTCAAAACTCTTGGCAATGATCTTTCTCAGATTATTGGTACCCATTTACAGCTTCGATTTGAATAATGAGCAAATTTGACAAGGTTACCAAGGTCTATTTACACACCAACCAAGATAAAAACCAGTGACCACTATTGGTATACATAACCAAGCAAATGATGTCATGTAAGGTTTCCATCACTAACTGACTGTGCTTCCGACCACCTCTAAAGCTATTACTAGAAATTGTGTTTTTGGTGGTTCTGAAGCAAATCGATCTCTGACATCATTTCTGTTGATTTTTTCAGGATCTGGAATTTTTATATCTCCTAAGGGAGTACTGGATGGTACAGGATCTATTGGTCTCAGTCTGATTGTGTGGTTAGGGTGTGGACTTATCTCCTTATTTGGTAAGATGAAACCTTCATTAGTTGACCTGTATATACAATGAAGTTTGTTGTCTCAAACATAGTTTCCAGAAAAATCTCTCTGAAATCACACCTGTTTTTACTGAACTTTTTGTCCACAACCAACCATCATACAATCCTGTGTCCTGTGAAATTCAATTTCATTTGATCCCTGTGATCTTGTGATACAAATTCAAATGTCATGTGTTTTTTAAACCATGTCCATCATATGCGTCTGACAAGAACTTAATGAGCACCAAGTCATAACAGTGTTTTTTGTTTTCAGCTGTAAGATATATTTGTCTGTTAAATTGACAATAGTAAAAGTTATTTTAATATGAATCTCAGGCTATTTGAATTTTGTAAAAATTTAATCAATGGTTTGTTGTTTTTCTTTTGATCAACAACTAGTCACATTAAGGGCTGGGTGTCAAATACTATCAATTACAAAATTGAGATCGATTATCAATGGCAGACTATCGATCAATATTCGAAATAATTTAATTAAGAAACCCTGTAAATACTAAATTGAAAACGTACCAAATGTCTTAATTTCAAGGCTTATTTTTGCGTCATAGAAGTATATTCTTGCTTTGATCGGTTATTATAGTTTATTGTGGGTATGTTATTTTCTGAAGAGAAGCTATGTGGAAGAGATTACTACTTGTTAACAGGTTCAGAAAATGTAACTTTTGACATATAATTGATTATGACATTTGATAATCGATAATCGAAATTATAAATTCTTAGCAACGATAATCGATTATTTCGACCATTTTACCCAGCCCTAATCACGTTATGGTATATTACAAGATCTCTGGAAGATCATGGCATGACCATAGTCAGCAATTAAGTACTGTTTGGAAAAGTGTTTTTGTTATATTTTGACCTACAGGTGCCTTGAGCTATGCTGAACTTGGAACTCTTATTACAAAGTCCGGGGCAGAATTTGCATACCTGTTTGAAGCTATGGGTCCTATTCCTGCCTACATGTACTCTTGGACATCGGTCATTGTTCTGAAACCATCAACCGTGGCCGTCATTTGCTTGGCATTTGCAGAATATGTTTTTGAACCTATTTTTGATGGCTGTGGACCCCCAGAGCTAATCAAAAAGTTATTGGCTGCAGCAGCCATTTGTAAGTATTTGTCCAGTTCAACTTGTTTGACAGTACTGGAGATATGAAAATGAAAAGCTGACAACAATTCTATTAAGTCTATTGTGTACCAGGTATTTGGGCTGCACATGGGTTTAAAGGGTATTTTTGTATATATGATGGTTGGAATGAGTATGAATGAATGGCAAGATAATGATTTTCTAATTTGTTTTTCTATCATTTAGGGCAAGTAGAGACACCATCGCTAATTTTTTACCATCTAGGATCATCTGCAGTGAAAACTACCTTTTAATGAATCAATTTGGATTTTTTTGTATTTGCAGCCTTTTTTTTTTGATTGAAAGTGATTTATTTAAGTAATTAAGGCATCATCAAAGGGAATTTGGGGATTTGTTCTATTGATATTCATAGTTTTCTTCTCTATTTTAGGAGCTTTATCTTATGCAGAGCTAGGCACAATGATCGTCAAATCAGGAGCAGAATACTCCTATCTGGCAGAAGCGTTCAAATGTCTTCCAAAATGGTTAGCACCCATTCCTGCTTATCTCTTTGCCTGGGTGTCTGTATTGGTACTTAAGCCTGCCTTATTTGCTGTTATTGCTCTTAGTTTTGGTATATACAGTGTTGAACCATTTTATCCAAGCTGTGAACCACCTGCTGGTCTCATCAAAATTGTTTCAATTCTTTGTATATGTGAGTAAATTATTTACTGTGATTGATATTTAGGATTTAGGTTGAGCACTTATTGTCTCCATTCAAACATGTGAAAAAAAAAGATTTAAAAAATAGACTGTCATCATTCAATCAGATTCCTTTTCCTTTCAATTACAATTACAAGCACACGTGAGAATTTACTCAAGACTCTAATTGGCGACAAATGTCCCGGGCACTTTACCCACAAGCTGATTCAAAGTAAAAATATATATATTCAATGTATATTGAATTTGTTTTTCTTCAGTACTAGTGGCATTCATCAACTGTTACAGTGTTAACTGGGCTACAAAAGTTCAAAACTTTTTCACATTTGCAAAATTAATAGCAGTGTTCATGATAACTGTTGGGGGCATTGTTAAATATGCTCAAGGTTTGTACAAGGACTGAACCAGCTTGCTTGAACAACTTTTTTGTGTTTTCAATTTAGTTTGCTTTGCAGTGAATTTGTACTTATTTATTTATATATTTAGCTTGCAGTGTTATTTTCATGGTTTCTTATAGTTTGCAGTGATTTTTTACTTATACCTTATTTTATTTATATACTTATGTATGCTTGAATGTGCAAGAGAATTGTGTTTGCTCTGTGCTTGATTTTGGCCAGTTTTGGAATGCTTGAAGGAAAATGCTTTGGTTTTGGTTTTTGGCATGATTGGTTGATCAAGTTTATTTATTTATTAAGAGTGCGTACATTGGGTGGTTCTAAAAAGTAACCTTCTTGTGGCATTTGAACAGTAGTGATTTGGATTGTCGTATGCTTGGCGATTAGGTGACGTGGGTTCGAATCCTCAAGAAGGTAAGAAAAATTCTGATGCCTGTGCCACTGCTTCCAATTACATACTGATGTAATTATTTGATACCCTGATATTACCCATTATTACATCAATATGAAGTATAAACTTTTTATTATCTGTTAAAGTGTTTTTTGTACCACCCAGTACATAATTCTTACAGTTTGTTTTGCCCTTGATTTTGAAATGAAGTGTGTGTAAATGTTTTATTAGCATGTTCCTTGTGGAATTCTAATCACCAACATTTATACTCAACAATTTCAGTGAATGTTGTCACCTTTTCATTTTCATGTTTCTTTTTTCACTTTATTATTTATTTTGTTTTTAATTTTGTTCTCTATGGGGCATCTCACAAAGCAATTTCCATCAACAATACCCAATGATTTGTGTGCATTAAAGGAATTGTAAAGAGATATTCAGAATTTTTTATGTGTATAAGGGACACTGATGGTATCAATTTGCACCATTCCAATTTTCAATCAGACGTCTGTGGTTCCTACAATTCCATTAAAAATAAGTGATTGATGATGTCACTTATCACAAAATATGCTGTATCACACAAGGCCCTTTTGCGATTAAAGACACCTTATTTAAGTGGAGTTGCAGGAACCACAGACGTCTGATTGAAAATTGGAATGGTATAAATTGGAATCAGTGTCCCTTATACACATGCAAAATTTAGAAAATCTATTTACAATCACTCCAAGATACATGTATCAATGTATCAATCTGAATAAGATACATGTATTAATCTGAACAAGATACATGTATCAATTTGAAAAAGATACATGTATTAATGTGAATAAGATACATGTATCAATCTGAATAAGAAACATGTATCAATCTGAATAAGAGACATGTATCAATGTATCAATCTGAAAAAGATACATGTGTCAATCATCAATCTGAATAAGATACATGTATCAATCTGAATAAGATACATGTATCAATCTGAATAAGATACATGCATCAATCTGAATAAGATACAGTTACATGTATTTTGTCATGAAATTGGTCAATAATTATCCCATTGTCTGAATAGTAGCATAAATAATTAGATTTGTTTTGCCTGAAATTACAATTGGTACCTTCTTCTGTGACTTTATAGACACTTTAAAGTATTTTTATTCCTTTTGTTTCCCAACTCAGTGGCAGTAACCATGGTGAATTGCTACAGTGTAAAATTAGCTAGTCGAGTTCAAGTGTTTTTCACTTTTACTAAACTAGCAGCCCTTGCTATGATAATCATAGGAGGTTTTGTCATGATGGGTCAAGGTAACAAAATAACAAATATACATGTATCAAATCTGCAATCAAATCTGAAATAACACAATATGTAATTGCACAGTAACAATTTACTGATTTGATACAGGTTTTTTTTAGAATTCAAAATAATAATTAACACTTCATTAGATTAACATCCAATTTTGGAACAATTGGAATAATACTTAATTTAGATGCAGTTAAGAGGTTTAATGGATAAACTTGTTAGAATGAAAATGACTGGATTTGTCAACTCATTGCCCCTCATGATGAGTCCAGCCATATTGTTCTTTTTTATTCTAATATGTTCTTAACTGTTGAACCTAATCAAGGGCTGACATGCAAAAAAGTGTTTAGTAGTTCGGTAGGGATAATAAATCGAGTCCCAGTGTACTACATGCTGTGCACGTTAATGCACTCTCAAAAAGAGCAGGCTTATTCTGCTGTCCTGGCAAAATTTCCCTCATTGCACTCTGCATGGCATTGGCTGTCTTCATTAGCCCACATGGTGCAGAAAAGTAGTACGCAAAACTCCATTCATTTCATTTGATTTTTTCTAAGTAATATTGGGTCACCTTGTCCTTTGCACCTTCTGTTATGATAGTCTCAATAAACTGTATCTAGATTATTTTAGGGTATTATAGAAAGAGCATAATATTAACATTCACTAGAAAAGTATAGATTTTTACAACATATCATCTAACTATATTTTAACTAAATGGTGCATGTTATGACATTTTTTATATAGTAATTAAACGTAATAATTTATATCAACAATGGCTCATATATGATCATTTCTAAACTTTTCAGATAAAAAGATTTTTGAAATTTTTAAACTACCGTATTCATTCTTATTGGAGCCCTGCCCTAACAAAGGACCCCCCACCCCTTTTTTTTTTAAAGTAACCCATACCTCCGTAAAATTAATCAAAGAACTAGCAGCACATAAAGAACCTTACATTGTTATAGGTATTGACAGGTATTGGATAATGTATAGCCAAATACAGAAATCAATTGCAAAATCCAAATCATATATGCCCATTACTACCTTGGTGCATGAGTTAATTAGTCTAATTCAGATAGCATTGATTGGTGTCAATTGAAGAATTTTGCAACAAAATTAACTCACTACTTCTGAAAAAAAGCAGTGATTCAATTAGAATAAATACGGTATTTGGTGAAATTACTTGTTTGTCACAATTGAAAATTGTGTATATAGGCCATTGAACTCAGTACATATTTTATGCATGGTTGAACTAAATAACAATTTTGTTTATGTTTATGGTAGTCTAGGCTTTAGATAATTTTGTTCTTTAATTAGATTTAATGTAATTTTAATTAATTTTATGCAATAAACTTAAATTTAAGTTTTCAAATTGAAAAACTGTAATGGAATACATGAAAATGAAAAACATTTTTTTAAATCAAATTTTTTAACTTTGTATGATAAAAATTATTGAGAATTTTTTCAACTTTCATCAGTTGTTATCAATTTTTTCTTTGGTTGTTGTAGGAAATACCCAAAACTTGGATCCCAAAACAACATTTCAAGGAACAACAAGCTCAGCTTCAGCCATTGCTTTAGCTTTTTACGATGGGTTGTGGGCCTATGATGGCTGGTAAGTGTAAATTGACCTGACCTGATAAACACCTCATCACAAAATGTCTGCCCTGAAGAGGATAGAAATTTGAGTAGTTAAAGCATACTTCATTGAGCTAGGTTAATTTGACGAACATTCCAAAGGGATGTTGTTAGACCCCAACTGAAGTGACTTTATTAAACATAAGAGCTAATAAAAAAAAACACAATAAAAGTCTGCTTTTCTCTTTATTCATTAACTTTAAAAAGTGATTAATTTATTATATATTTTCCCAGGAACAATTTGAACTATGTAACAGAAGAACTCAAAAATCCATACAAGTAAGTTTACAATCTGCTGAAAGCCATTTATATTTTGATTTATTCAATCAAACCTTAATAAGTACTTAATTATTCAATTAATTATTCAATCAAACCTTCAAGTAAAGTACTTAATTATTCAAAGAAATCTATGAAGTAATGTACTTACTTATTCAAAACCTTAATTGAAGTACTTAATTATTGAATCAAACCTTCAAATAAAGTACTTCATTCTTCAATGAAATCTTGAAGTAAAGAACTTAATTATTAAATCAAACCTTCAAGTAAAGTACTTAACTATTCAAAGAAATATTGAAGTAATGTACTTACTTATTCAAAACTTCAATTGAAGTACTTAATTATTGAATCAAACCTTCAAATAAAGTACTTAATTCTTCAATGAAATCTTGAAGTAAAGAACTTAATTATTAAATCAAACCTTCAAATAAAGTACTTAATTATTCAAAGAACTTTTGAAGTAAAGTACTTCATTATTCAATAAAATCTTGCAGTAAAGAACTTAATTATTAAATCAAAACTTTCAAGTATTGTACTTGATTATTCAGTCAAACCAGTATTTAATTATTCAATCAAACCTTCCAAGTAAAGTATTTAATTATTCAATCAAACCTTCAAGTAAAGCACTCAAGTACTCACGTATTCAAGTACTAAATTACTAATTAGTATTTTTAAGATATTGTATATTTTTCATTACAGAGACTTACCAAGATCTATTATTATAGCTCTACCATTGGTTACAATCTGTTATCTGTTGACTAATATATCCTACTTTAGTGTTATGGATAAAGCTGAATTATTAGCATCAGATGCTGTAGCAGCTGTAAGTATTATACCAGATAAACATGTCAGATAACGCAGAAATTCAGAATAGACAGATATCACAAATTATGCTGTAATTGGTGATTAACTTGGCTATACATTATCTCTCCTGCAAAATCTATTATTTTAACAAATAATAAATTCAAATAATAAATAGGACACATTGGAAAGTTCATTACAAACTTGTTCTGTTCTCTTAAAGCATTTTTCACAAATGTCAGTTAGCTTTAAACAGACAACTTGAAACAGACAAACCAGCACTTATGTTTGTGATGAATCTTAAATTTGGTTTCTATTTTTAGACATGGGGAGCTCGGGTTTTGGGAGTAGCAGCTATCATTATACCTATTTCTGTAGCTTGTTCAACCTTTGGTGCAGCGAATGGTTCATGTTTTACTGGTGGAAGGTATGACTACTGTTTCTAGATTCAGTGTTTCTGTTTACGATAAATTGTACCTTAGTCTCAGAAATGGGAAATGTTAAGTTAATCAGTTAATGTTCACAGCTCACCATCGAAATTTGAGCCCTCTTATATATGTGCCATGATTGCTCGCATTTGAAAGTTGCATTGACAACTTGTTTTTTCTTGACATTCTGCCATTTGTAGAGCAGTTAAGTTATAAATGGATTTTACTTTTGCTGTCATTTAGGTCAAAGTTAGATATATATTACATTAGGTCAAAGTTAGATATATATTACATTAGGTCAAAGTTAGATATATATTACATTAGGTCCAAGTTAGATATATATTACATTAGCCTAAAGTTAGATGTATATTACATTAGGTCAAAGTTAAATATATATTACATTAGCTCGAAGTTAGATATATATTAGATTAGGTCCAAGTTAGATATATATTACATTAGGTCAAAGTTAGATATATATTACATGAGCCTAAAGTTAGATATATATTACATTAGCCTAAAGTTTGACATATATTACATTAGCTCGAAGTTAAATATATATTACATTAGTTCAAATGTGGATATATTACATTAGCTCAAATTTGGATATATTACATTAGCTCAAATTTGGATATATTACCTTAGCTCGAAGTTAGATATATATTACATTAGTTCAAATTTGGATATATTACATTAGCTCAAATTTGGATATATTACATTAGCTCAAATTTGGATGTATTACATTAGCTCAAAGTTAGATATAATATATTACATTAACTCAAAGTTAGATATATAATACATTCCAGATGTTTATTTTTAGATTGGTGTATGCAGCAGCGAGAGAAGGTCATCTGCCAGAAATCCTATCTTATGTTCATGTTAGACAGTTGACACCATTACCTTCTTTAGTTTTTACTGTAAGTTATTTACGCCTGGGGTTTAACCCCAGCTTTTGTTATTGTACCTTTGAAATTGTCCATCTTGGTTTCCCATATACATTATGGTGGGACTCATATACAAAAGTGTGCTATTTCTTATGAAAAAAACCCAAGGTCCTATGTCCTACAGGTTGTGCAGGTTAAGTATTAGGGGGTGAGACATGAGAGCCAACACCAGGCTGACCCTTGGAAGCACTGGCACAGACACAGAATTTTTCTTACATTGAGCAGGATTCGAACTCATGGCACCTAATTGCCTAGCGGAAGGAAATCCAACTTACTACTGTGAAAGGTGTAAGCAAATGCTGCTGCCTTGGCAAAATTTGATCCATTGCACACTGCATGACTATGCCTGTCTCTCCACTAAACCAATTAAAGGAGCAGCAAAATAAGACCTTAAAATTTTGATGTCTCTCTTATTCAGTTTAGTGTTTAAGCTTGACTTAAAAAGTTGATAATGATATTTGTTTTTCATTTCAGTCCCTGATAGCTTTAATAATGATTATACCAGGTGATATCTTTACCCTGATAGATTTCTTTAGTTTTACTGCCTGGTTGTTCTATGGTGCCACAATGGCAGCTGTCATAATTCTACGCTTTACTAGACCTCATGAACATAGACCATACAAGGTACGTCACTTAAAAATAACACAGACTGTGCATATTAAAGATCCTCAACAGGTCGAAACCTTACAAATTTCCCTCATTCCACACTGCTGTCTTTCTTTAATGATAGGTTTAATTGATATACTACTAAAACCAAAGCATTTTTTTAGTGGAATTGCAAGAACCACAGATGTCTGACTCAAAATTGGATAGGTGCAAATGGATGCTATCATTGCCCCATTTAGACATAATAAAAAAAACCTTTTTATCATCCCTTTAAGGGACACCAATTGCAATGCAGTAAATCTTGATTATTTCATGTTATATTTTGATATATTACAAAAAAACACAAAGAAATATATTATGCTATAACACATTTTTAATAACAAAGTACATAACGTTTCAACACAATTTACGTGTCTTGTCGTCATCAGATGAAATGAAGAAGAGGGGGAATACTATAATATATTCCCTTGTGTTTTAAGTTATATGTGCTGTCCGCTTCTAAATGTTGTAGAAATCTTATATAATTTGATATATTTCAGGTGCCAATAGTACTACCTATATTTGTATTGTTATGTTCAATCTATTTAGTTCTTGGACCTATAATAGATAATCCTCAAATTGAACTTCTCTATGCTTTCCTCTTTGTTATTAGTGGATTAATATTTTATGTTCCCTTTGTTCATTTTAAACTGGTCTTACCAGGCATGGGTAAGTATTTGGTGATTAAATTTGATTTTAATATGTGGTGATAGAGGGTTGCATAGCTTGTTGCAGAGATACCTGCTTGCTGACGTTCGGTGCAGGATTTGAACCCCACATGAGTTGAGATGATATGAATTGATCAACTCAGTTTACCCTTATCAGTGATACAGGTCAGGCATTGATTGAACTTGTTTCTGTACCTAAACAGAGAGGAGATGATGTCATAAAATTCCAATCACTCTAACATTTTGAGTTACAGCCCTCTCCATAATGATTTATTGTCAAAACTTTGTTTTCAGATACATTTACCAAATATATGCAGTTAATATTAGAAGTGGCGCCCAGTAAATATCTGCCACCAGAATGAGTAGTAGATTTTTATAACTTTGTACATAGTACTATATTTTCGTCTTTTGGACATGGTTTATATTTTAAACTTAAGTATGTGTCCAGTAACACTAATCAACTTTCATTACAGAAACATGGCTCATTAATAGTTTCAATGACTACTATTTTAGTTCATTGGAAGCAAGCTAGAAATTACGATTTTTTTACAAAAGACAACAATTTCTGTCTCAATTTACCCAATGTATCAAAGGCGAACAAAAATATGCTTCAACAATTGATATTGTGCTTAGTAATCAGTGGTGGGAAGGGGAGGGGGAATTTCATCCCCCTACATTTAAGATTTCAAAAGGTTCTAGTTGCAACGTGGACTCCTAATCTAAGAAGGCGGAGATTGCATCTAAAGCGGTTTTGGCAGTGAAAGTAGAATAAATTTTTCATGAAATTCCCCCCCACGCCACTGTTAGTAACCTTGACCTTCAGTTATTTTTTTAAAAGACAAGGCGGTGCTAAATATTACTCCAAAATTTTGTTGTTGTATATATTTTATTTGATTAAGAGTTGATAGGAATGCTGTTTACTGACAAAATTACTAGTTACAATCAGACAAAATATGTACTCTTATGCATATATTAGGCCATTAGAAGACTTATATAAGAAACATTATATTGAGTAGACTAAATGATGATGGATACTGAATTGTATGTATATTGTTGATAACCATTTGATTCAGCTGAATATATTGTTGGTACAGTTTAAAATGTGATAAACCTTTGAACTGTTTTTTCTACCTTCAAAACTAAAGATTAATATAGAAGTATGTCTCATACTACTTATTTTTTTTTGAATTTCTTCAGGATTGTTCAGTTAGTAACACAAGCTATGTATTTTGCACAATGCAAGTGTTAACTATGTACAGAATTATGCCTGTGTTACAAATTTTTAAAATTAAAGTCCTCTATCTTGTCAAAACAAATCTTTAAAATATATTTACATAATGAAAAGAAATATCCAAAGAGCAGCTATACTGTATTTTATTTTTCTAAAAGATATCTATCATAATTTTGTGAAATATTTTTAAATTTGTATTCAAAGATTTTAGTTAAGGCTTCCAATTGGTTTTCCATATTTGAATTTGTCCCAAATTCTTTTTTAAAATCCAATCTTAAAGTTTGACAGGTTTTTATTATTGCCAAAATTGCAAATGTTTAATTCCAGAAAAAATAACACCCAATCTACTAAGAATACTGATCTAGATATTTTGTTTCATGATTTTTCTGTGGGTTGATCTATTTCCCATCCATGATCTGTGAGTGGATATTCTTCTTTGAATTGTGTTTAGTTGAATATTAGTCATTAGTTTTACTGAACAGTCAATATAAAATGATGCCTAATAATCAACAAACATGAATTTCTGAAGTCTTTCTTGAACAGATCGTTTCATTGGTTGGATTTTTTAATGACCTTGAACTATAGATTTGTATGTTAATCAGATTGAAGATGTTTAATGATCATCGATGTGCCTTAGTAATATTAAGCATTGATTATATGTAGTAATGGTTTTTAATTAGTGTTCAGAATTTAAGTTCAGAATTAAGCAGTTGTATGATGGATATAGAGAATCCTATTGGGCTATGTCCCTGCATTGAAGTACTTTTAAAATCATAGGTTCACATGAGTATTTATTACAATTTAATAATAGTAACCAAGGCTTATATTTTCATGTATATAGGGGTTGACTATAAAATAACAATCATTTGTATATAATGGTATTGTTGCAATCATTTAATGGTAATTTATTTGCATGGTTTTGTAGAAATATTTCCAAAATCTGTATACACACTGCCCCTGAGACCTAGAGGAATCCATTCAAAGCAAGTGAAATATTTAGATGTTGAATAAATTTTAAAAATTTGCTTCTGCTTGCAAAGAAATATATATTATAAGTAATGTTTGATGTTTGAAACATTTGTATATACATGACAGGTCATAACATAACATAATATATAGGCTGGCTCTAGTTTATTTTATACTCAAGTTTTATAAATTACTTGTTGGAAAGCTTTATGTATTTATAACAATGCAGTTGATTCATTGATTTTTTTGTTAATACCTTTTTTGTTTATAATTTTTTTGAAACATTTGACTATTAATGAAACATGGCTGAGCCATTTTTATTATATTTTAGGAGACTTAAAAGAGGTGTTCTAGCCATTTTATTTGTATCAACTTCAATCTGAATCCATTCAAATTTTCCAACCATCTAAGGCGTCTTCAATTCTAGATGATGATGTCACCATTCCCCTTTAATATATGTGATATTAATATATTATGACTTTAATGAAGTTTTATGGAATTACATGGATTATATTTTAGAATGGTTAAAATAGGTTGCACTCGATTAGAGAGTTCTGAACAGTTTCCATCTGTTCCAATTCTGCCCTCAATCAAAAGGTACTGAAGCAGAATATGTCACTTTCAAATTTTCCCATCTATTTCCTTCTCTGCCATTTGAATTCTCTGTGCACCAATTGAGGCAACCATATTTTTGGCACATGTAGAATGCATTCTGAACTCTTTGCCAAGTATCCATAACTCGCCAATCGAGCAGCCCCATAGAAGCTACCTTGAATACAATTACTACATGGTGAAACAAATGATATTAAATGAGTCTAGCTTGACGATACATGTTGATATATGTACATTAACAAAGATTAAAAACATTGGAAAGTTTTATTGTTAAATGTTTGATTATGTAAGTAACATAATATAATGTTTGCAAAGATTTGTGATATACTGTATTTTAATCTGTTGAATAAAATCTATACATACTACAACATTAATTTGTGATTTCATGACTTATCTACTCTTTAAAGTTTAAAGACTTTATTAAGCTTGAGTTGCAATTGACATGATTTTCTTTCGGGAACACCTTGTGCTACTCTGCCACTAAGATTTTCAAATGGTGCCACTTTTGGAGTGTCTGCAATAGTTCTATATCATATGCAATGTATTTATAAGCTGGTCTACAGAGTTTAGGTTTATATCCCTTGTAATGCATTTTAGGTCCTAAATCTTTTATGTAAAGGGGTATGCAATTTTTTTCAGAATTGTTTTTCGCAGATATTATTTTTATCCTGCACATTCCAAAAAGTCAGGTCCAAATGTCTACGGACTTTTGCATAATAGTAATTATAATATAAGCGCATTCATATATTATGTGCAGTGTTAACTATTTATTTATGATTAGAACTAAAAGAACAGATGAAACGAACGCGCTTTTCATGTTTCGTGATCGTCGTGACACTCAATGTGATAAACAAGACTACCATTATCACGTGATTATCCAAAATGAAGACGGCGGGATATTTTCGAGAATTTGATGAACGAACTGCCATTTAAAAAGTGTTAAAACAATATAGAGTCGATTAGGAAATCAATTATCGGTAAGTAATATCGCTTTTCTTTCATTTGTGGGTGTTGTCATGCCTTGTTATTTGAATTCTGCTTCAATCTTTGCACGTGCACCCCAGATGTCGTTTTGTCAATCAATTTGACAACAAAAATGCAAACACTCAAAACTCCTTCGGTACGAAATCTTACCATGGCAATCCATCTGCTGGGTTTATATTCGTAACATATTTTGCTCTGTGTAGAACCAAATGTTCTTGCTCTCGTTATCTAGTTTGCAAATTACTTCAGAACACAATGCTGGAAATTGACATCATTTAATGTAATTGTCTCCCTTGTACCACTGCCACTGGCGTTCTATCTTGTTTCATATCATTATTTATAACAAAACTGTCCCTCTGAATGTTGTATAATTATAAACATATATGAGTCAGCCACAACTTCAAAATACTTCATTATAACAATGGAAATTAAACATCACAGTATTTAGTGAGAAGCGTATAAGGTGTAGATGCTTCTCACAGTATAGACTGCAAACTACAGTAATTGAATATAGTAGTTGTCTCCCTTAGACCATTTGTTGCTGAATATAGTGATATTCGTTGTCTTGAATAGATAGAAATGAAATGCTACTTTGTAGTCTGTGCTGTTTTTGACTTGTGAGGGTGTTGTGTGGGTCATTAGTTCTGGACAATCTTAACAATATTTTTTCTTGCTTCACGCTCAATGTGATCTGAAGTTCAGAAATTTGAAGTTTACTAGTTTAGAAAGGCTCACAGTGTTCTGTTTAAACACTGACCTCATGATGTGAAAAAAATAACATTTACAAGTTACATGTTTGGGACAATTTCAAAAACTAGCCATCGTGTTAAAATCATTTGTCAATAGTCCAATATTGACTCGATATTGAAAAAGTTAATCCCTTATCCGATCCTAGCTGACCTGATGAGGGTTTAGTATCCCAAACACCATGAAATGGATTTAATGAACATCAGTCTTCCCTTTCATTGTTGACCTCTCACTCGTATTCAATGCATTTGATTTATTTGCTCATATGCCTGGAACTCCAATTTGAAAAATTGGTTGACCCAAATTTCCAAAACCAAGTGTGTTGTTGCAAAATGAAACGAAAGGAAGATACTTTATTTTTTTATTTGGCAGGATGATAGAATAATAATTAAATAAGCCTTTAAACAAATAGATAGCAAGCTACTGCCAACTTCTCACAAAAATTTACATTACATTTGTACTCCCAAGATAACTTTATATACATAATATTCATCTTCTATACAAAACAAAAACTTCATATACAATTACTATATATATCGATATCACATTTTATACATTATCTATAACTTTCTTGATTATAGTTGTTTAATCCCTCATAATCGTATCATATAGGCTTTCCAAAAATATGAAAGTGAATAATTTATCGTATTTTTCATGAGCAAAACCTGTAAGCACATCATTATTCCAATCAACGATTCTTTGAGACTATGGAATTGTGAAAAATAAGTTTTGAAGCTCCTGATATTTTTGTCTAATTTCTGATTGAAATGAGTAAAAACTTTACATCCTTTGTTACAATTCTAAAAAAAAACAGGGATTTCGTTGAAATAATGCACGACAAAATTCATATTCAAAATTGTTTAAAATCTTAAGCTGAAGAGTTTAACATAGTTCAAACCAATAAAGAGAAGCACTTTAAGATATTCTCCCAGTTGGAATAAATATTATGGACCATCATAAACATGCATATCATTATATATTATATTATACTTTAACATAAGTGATAAGGCATTGGGGTAGCAATTTGACAAAATTATTATACTGCAGTTATATTTCTCGGTAACAAGCACTGAACTTGAATCAAGTCAAGCACACCCAATCATTGCACAAACCTATTTAGCATCAAAATACTGTTGAACTCTTGTATTTCTTTCTCCACAAGATCAAGCATGTAACACAACATTAGCTGGGACATCGTCAGTCTCTTATTAGACGTCATTGATCCCTTATTAACAACAAATGCTCATATTAACCTTATATGTAATGCCAACACATTTTAAAAATTTCAATGCATCAATACATTGATATTGTGACTATATTCCATAAATAGATGCATGCATGAAAGATTGACAAACAGTACAATGGACTGATGTCAGAGAATTTTGAAAAGTATTATGTTGAATGTTTGAGATGATATCTTTCTATTGAATTTCTCTATGCTATAATGTCAAAAATCTGATGAGCCCTGACTTATAGCTGTGATATACACCATATTTGTTAAAGATAAATACCCTTAAGTATACAGGTTACACAGTTTTGATAAAAGGAAATTAAATTTATTGTAAAAATGATCCTGAAATCGAGCACAATCTTGAGACAATTTAGGTTTAATCTGACAAAAGTATGGTGTTCATTCTGGGATAAAATTTAGTAGAAAATAGAATCAAACATGCGAATGCAGACATGATTCAAAAAAACTGATTTTCGACTATAAATAATCCTACACCACACCTTTTGATGTAACCAACATTGGCAAATATTAGCAAGTAATTGTTCAAATTTGTTTACTTTTGATAAATAATATTGGGATTTATATAAAATGCCACGTTAAAATTTTTAAGGAATGAAAAGAAACTGGATATCTGCATTTCAATGTACAGTTGATTACAAGCTCGTTAACTTTCTTGTTGAAAGACAGTCTTTTTGGACACAAGATCACTTAGAATTTCGTACACAACTCAGTAAGGTCACTGTTTATCATGTCCATAAACTTTGAGGGAATGAATTGACTTCACCTAACTCTGTTACTGTATTTCCATTTTGAGAGTAAGTCATCTTTAATCGCATTTTTAACTGGGCCTGAAAGGATAGAATTATCACTGTTGAAACTTATGTTCTATATTTTTGTCTAGATCATTTGGAATAAAGTTTCTTCACAAAACGACTTATGGTTAATATACTATTATACCATGCTTGGAGAAACTTGCCAGAAACAATTGGCTTTACATGAGAAGAAAATATATTTTATGCTATGCAAATTTTCCATATAATAATTATAGTTGCCAAGGCTAAAATGTGAACAATAGAAAAAGGTGAACCTCTCTAAATTTGACTTACCTTTGAAGAGTTATTAACTTTGATAATTTGTGTAACACATCCTTGATTCAATGGAGGTAAGTCAGTACCAGATGGTGACTGCAACTCCATTTGGAATGACTAAAAATAAAACAATTTATAAATGAACTCAAAATAGCATACCCAAAAATAGAAGCCCATCTGCTCATTTTAAGAGCTGGATAAATTATGATTCCACTAATAAGAAAACTTCTAGTTTAACCAATGTGCCATAAATTCAAAATTACCTTAGGGACTGCAGCTTGGAATACAAAATCTGACATAGGTGCACTGGATGTATTGGAGGCTTTCACATTTATTACAACAATATTAGGTTGAATATCTTTCTCACACATCATCTCAATTAATAAATTATTACGATTAAACGCTGTTATTTTACTTAATGCTGAAATAGATAAATATTAATGTTTTAATTCATACATAATTGGTTGCATCAACTGCATGAAGAATAACAACATGGTTCAGGTTCTGTTTTAAGTTTTCTATATTGTGCGACAATTGATGTTTTCAGCACATTTTTAACAATGAAAATATTTTGTTACAGAAGAATAACTTACATGAATCACCATTCATCTGATTGTTAAGAGAGTTTTGTTCCGGTGCTAAGAAACCATCTAATAAATTATTACCAGTATTAGGGGAGGTTGTGGGTGCTAAAAAATAAACTTGTCTTATTTACTGATTGTGGAGTGTTGCTACTAAGACATGACTTATCCCTGCTGCTTTTTCTTTTACCAAACAATTGTAAATTTAAATGTGGAACTTAATATTGGCAAAATTCATTCAAGGATTATTGTTTAGGAATAGTCAGATGAAATATAATAAGCAATGTTCTATGCATGTCTTACTAAGTTTGGTTGATGCTATGCATTGAGAAATGCAGGGATGTGTGTTCAGGATGCACAGACAAAAGCACATGGTGGGCCCTAGTTTTAAGTGTTTTAAGGCAGCTGTAACCATATTTTAAGAATTCACTATGTAAATTAAGAATAAGTTCAAACTTACGGGTAACATTGTTAAGAGTTGGTGTTGGTCCTAGATCACCTAATAAATCTAGTAAATCATTTACACCACCACTGCCTGCTGTATTAGATGTATGTTCTGTATTACTAGTACCATTACCCATTATATCTAATATACTATTACCCTAGAAAATATTATAATAAACATCAATTTTCATCATGGGTCTAATTAGCACAGCTCCACCAGATACAGATTTACTATTAACGAATAGTGATAAAGGATGGTAAATTTTGAAGCCAAAGCAATATTTACCGATTAAAATGAAACCTGAAAATTGTCCGACCCTAGGGGCCAAATTTGGCACCAATCTGCCAATTTTGGAGATATCACATACTGCAGTGCATAGGGATACTTTTCCTTCAGGACAACAGCTTCAAAACGTTTTTTAATGCCTTTGTTAACATGCTTTTAGCTTTTTTAAACAACCCGAACTGTCAACTATTAGCCTACCTCCATGTTATTTTGTACGTTGATATTATTTTCTTTTGGTGATGGTTCCACACCCCCTAATAAATTATCTTCTTCTTGTCCTTCATCTTCAAATACACTTCTACTTCTAGCATGTACTTCTAATAGAGGCATGTGTTCTAGCAGAGCAGGCCTGTAGTTTAAAAATTAATTTGATTTTCTGCATTCACCATCATCTTGTCCTCCAGAGTTTTGCCTGACTGACATGTGACTTATGTCTTTAGCTTGTCAACACATGTTTACGCTTAAGGAAAGAACCTGGGTATATTTTCTCTTTTTAAGCTTAAGTAAGTCATAAAATCTTATTTCATTTCTTAGCGAGAGTCTAGATGGTTAATGCTTACCCATTTTCTGATTTAGTTGTATATTGTTGTCTATAATAATAAATGACAATTCTTACCGTAAATGGTCAAATTTCGAAAATAAATTGGTATATTCTACAGATCTTTGTTGTAATTCTACATTAGTACTACTACCATATACTTCTATTATCTGCCGTATTCGCCTAAAAAAAAAAAAATATATCACATTATTTCTTATGTAGAAGTTATAAACCATTTCCCATAGGCTTTCAGATGTTTGATAGTTATTAACTTTAATGAAAGCATACAGAGATTTGTAAGACTCCAATATAAGCATAAACTTAATTTTGCTCCCTTAAAGTCAGTTCGTTTATTTTGCACACATTAAGTCCAATTTTGTAAAGTTTACCTGTATTTCCGATCATGCTGTCTTAATGAGGGTTATTTATCCGAAACATGTGTTGGAAGTATTTTCTGCATGAACAATGCTAGATATTTTTTCTATGATTTATAAGTGATTGATAAAATTAGGAGCAATGTAGTTAATAAACACTACTTACGGTACTGTAGAAGTAAATCTAGAACTAAGTTTCATTAGAGCTGTAATAGCATATTCTTTAGTGATTTCAGTAGAATTATTATTTTGTAATACTCTTTCAACTATTCTTACAACATCTTCTTCCGATACCTAAATAAACATAGTAGGTCAACATGTATTAACTTCCATAAGGGATAAATAGTTGCCCAAAATAGGGCTCTATATTAGCTATCTGTAAAATTATCAGAACTCTCTTCATCGTTCAAACCTGTAGACCTGTGAGCATTTAAGCAATAAACCAACTGAATGTTTTAAAAATTGCTCAGATAGCTCATATCCATGATGTATTCTCAAAGTTAAGCAAATATTTAGATCACTGAGGTCTTGAACTCCGGGAAACTTGTAAATACTTATTTGCCTAAAATAATATACTCAATAAATGCAGTAGTTGATAATGACTTTATATTTTTTTCAGATCTCTGGGCCATTTCAACATTAACTTGTGGAAAACATCTGATGGAAAATTAAGTAAGTAAAATACTTTAAACAACTTCAATCGATCACTAGGATGGAATTTAACCACTTACTGTAATAGGTTCTTCATCTTCTACAGTATTTGAAAACATGTGTTCACCATATTCACCTATACACCACATAGCAACTTGAGCCATAGGTTGTTGACTAAAATCATCATTCAAAGCTTTAAACATCTGTAGAGCTATATAACCATGTAGTTGTTTAGTTTCTGATATTAATTGAATTAATAATGATACAACATCACCTCGTACAAAATTACCAGCCTGTAATAGTTATTATAATAGTTATTGTAATATAACAGTAAAAAATGGAATACTTCAACATCTGTTGCAGTTTAAAGTATACAATACATCTGTGGCAGCTTAAAGTATACAATACATCGGTTTAAGGTGTACAATAGATCAGTTACAAGTGTACAATACATCGGTTTAAAGTGTACAATACATCGGTTTGAAGTGTACAATAGATCTGTGGCAGCTTTAAGTGTACAATACATCTGTGGCAGCTTAAAGTGTACAATACATCAGTTTAAGGTGTACAATAGATCAGTTACAAGTGTACAATACATCGGTTTAAAGTGTACAATACATCGGTTTGAAGTGTACAATACATCTGTGGCAGCTTTAAGTGTACAATACATCTGCGGCAGTTAAAAGTGTACAATACATCTGCTGAAGTTTTAAGTGTGATAGGTCTTACCATGACTAAAACTTTGAGAACTGTATCTATATGCCATCTTTTATTTGGTGAATATCTGTAAACAAAAGTTTATGTATTGAAAAATAACGTATTCTGTATTCATTAACTCACATGTAAGGCCACATCAAAAGCAAAAAACTTAAAAATCACAAACATACAATTGGCAAAATTTATAAATGGCAAAATTTCACTCAAATAATTCATTCTATCTGATCAGTAGTGGGTCTCTGTATAGGAGGCAACTTAAAGTTAGGTGTATCAGAGTTAATGGTATCCATAAACCACAGAATAGAAAAATAATATAAACTTACTTTGCAGCACTTAGCACAATATTAGAACAACAATCTGCTTTAAATTCTTGATCACAATTTTCTAAGAAATGTAGTAATTCTTTCATCATACCACGAATATTATTAGCATTTATCAAGGCAAATGATAGTTCCATAGCACGTCTGAAATATAGACATATCCCTCTTCAAATCTCTCACATAAAACAATTACAGTTTTGCACATAATTATCAGCTTCGAAAATAGTTTTGCATAAACATTTATTAATTTTGGTCATATACATTATGTTATTTATGTGTTTTTAATTTCCAATTTTACTTGGACAAATGTTCTTTACCAGATGGTGGTTCTGATGGCTTCTTTAATGATATAGCATTCTAAATTCTATAAAAAATAATCCATTAACTTACTTTCTAATAGATATATCAGGATCTTTCAAACAGTCTACTATAGTTGTTCTATGTCTCTGTACAGCATTATAATCAGCTTGTACAACTCGTAGTAAAGTATTTAAAGCAATATAGCGGATATTCTTATCATTATTTAACAGGAATCTACCTAATATATTTACAGCTAAAACCTACAAATATAACAGATTAATGCATTTTGATATCACATCATAAAGTGTTCACTTTTGCTAGAAAAAAGGAAGACCTACAATTTAATATTAATTAAAATTTATATAAAATAATCATTTCCAAAGAAATATGCTCACATGTAGTAATTATTTAACAATAGTCACAATATTGGTAATATGCTTGATTTTGTTTGTTTCATGGAAGAAGAACTATACGTCATATTCAAATACTGAAAAGTGATACAGAGAGCTGTAATTTAGTTATACAGCTGGTAAAGCAAATATTTTGACAATTGTATCTGATATTACATCCCAAATAGTGGTGAATACTTACACGTAAGCCAGCTTCAGATTGTATACCCATTATAGTTAAAACAATCTCATATAAAATAGCATGTCCTACATTTTTACTAGTATCTGTATTGGTAGCCACCTACAAATAATATACAAAGACAATATAGAAATATGATAATGCTCTACTTTTGGTAATTTGTAAACATCAAGTAATTGATTTTTACCTTTGACACGTAAATAAAATGAAAATCATTTCAAATTTTGATGTATTTTGCAAATATGAAGTGGAAATAATGAAAGTTTCATTGTATATATTCTATTGGCAGCATATAAATATTTTATAGTATGGACATATTGTATATACATACTTGAGCAAGGATATCATTCATTGTTTCACTAGCTTCTAAATCAGTTTTACCTAGTCTCCTTAACAACCGCAATATTTTAACCTAGAAAATATAAAAAAGAAGTAATAAATATATTATAAAAATAATCATAAAATGTTCCCAAAAGCACCCAATTGAAGAACACAGTTGGAATGGTAATAGGTGTTTCAGAAGGGTAAGCAGTTCTCAAATCATGCAGGTTATAAGTTATTGAAAAGTTTATTACCTGTAAAAAGGGATCACTAACACCACTAACATCATGTTCTGGTGAATAACCAGCCATAATCAAATTCTTTAATATACGTACTAACTGTGGTACCAACTGAAATATATCAACAAATACTTACTGATAAAATTTGTTGAAGAGATTTTGCCATCCTTAGTATGTGTATCAGGTTCATATTCTGGTCAAGTTTTTATGAAAATTGCAGGATCAGTGAATGTCCAATTATGTATCAATTGAAAGTCGATAACTTTGACTAAAGAAAAGCTTCAGCAAGCTTTATAAGACTGGCCAGTACCAAATTTATTCACTCAAACTCAAAAATTACATTTCTGTTTACAGTTCAAAGTATTTTCCACTCATAAAAAAGTTTCATCATGTTGTTTCAAACATTGGTTCACAAGACCAAAAATCAATACATGCAAAAAAATCCATTTCAAAAGCTATACCGTACAAAATATTGACACCAATAAGCTAAAGATATAGAAAAAAACAAGCACATGCATGACAATACTGCATGTGACAAACTTAAAGTGTAGCATTGAAATAATGATCTCTTAAAGCAAAAGAATACCATTATTGGAAGCCAACAATGAACATTTATGCCTAAATATAACTGTATCCATTACATGACAATCAAGTAATGTGGAGTGGTATCCTTGATTAAAACAATGAAAGATATAAGGATAACATGGTTTCATGAGTATCCCATCAACCAGCTGGTCCTTGGCTAAACCTCTCGGCATTGATTTCCCAAATCATTTGTACCAATCTACAGCTGGTTGAAAGGATAATGCTAACCATTGTTCCCTGTTTCAGATACAAAATCCTCATCAGAACAGTTTAAAAATGGACGTTATCTTTTCAATAACATCTAGCATTCCAAAAATGCAAACAAAAAGCATAAAGTACATCATGCAAGGAGATCAGATATAAGGCTGTATAATTTTGTGAAAAACCAAATTATTTATTCTTTTTGTACATATCTATAACTAATTTAGCTAACAAAATAAGCAATGTGATATAACCACTACCAAAAATTAGATAAAAAAAACATCTCAAATAAATATATCAAAATAAATTGAAGTGCCCATACCTCATACTCCTTAACATGGTGTTAAAAAATAAAATAAAATAGATGAAAACAGAAAATAGTGCATTCTAGATCTCTGAAGTAAGGGTAGAAAAGGAAACATGAAGAACAAGCCAAAAAGTCCCCCCCCCCCCCCTCCCAAATATTAATAGAATATGAGATTAATATATTATGATGGTTAAATTTTGGGTTAATATTTAAATATATTCATATAGAACTAGGTTCCCTGGCAAAAGCCTCTGTAGGGATGTTTCAAAGAAAAATTTGCCCACATTTTCTTAGGAAATAAAATCTATATAACTTTAGGTTTAGATGCATAATTGCTTTTGTTCAGCTTTAAACATTCCAAAAATGCATGGGTTGTAATTATAGCTCTATAAATTTATGTCAGTTTTCTTCTAAATTATGTGCATAATTAGGTTTAAATTATGTGCATAATTAGGTTTAAATTATGTGCATATTTAGGTTTAAATTATGTGCATATTTAGGATAATATACATTTAATAAAAAAATATTTTACTTCAAGTTCTGTTTTTCCAAGAAAAATTAGATATATCTAAAGAAAATTGTGTTAATATGCAGTCGGGAGTTAATTATGCACACTGACCCTTTAAGAAAACGTTAAAATGATTTCAATGATGGTTAGATCTTAGTGTGTAAGAATATGAAATGGTGTATAAGAATAATATAAAATAAATTCTATGTTAACTGTTCACATATCTAACTTACCTTTCGGAAATGATGTAAAGTATCTGGACTTTTCTCACACATTTCAGTTATTAAACACACTGCAGTAAATAATACACCTAAAATACAACAATTTGTCATTATTTAAAATATAAAGTCAATATGTGAAGTATACAATGAAATATAAAGATATATATAGCATAATTTGAATATCTGATAAATATTTACATTAGCTTTTATTTTTTCCATTGGACTAATACAAATTCGTGTGGTCTTTATATCACCATAAACGCCATTGCCTCATCACAA